TGAATCTCGATGTGCAGAGTTCGTGGCAGGCGCAGCACTTTGTGAATATCGATGGGCAGATTGCGTGGCAGGCACTTGCTGAGTCTGGAAGTGCAGATTTCGTGGCCGGTGCAGCACTTTGTGAATCTCGATGCGCAGATTTCTTAGCAGGCACAGCACTTTGTGAATCTCAATGTGCAGATTTCGTGGCAGGCGCAGTACTTTGTGAACCTCGATGTGCAGATTTCGTGGCAGGCGCGGTACATTGTCAACTGCGAAATGCTCTTATGTACTCGCCTATGTGCTCTCAGATTTGTGCTTGTATGTGCTCTCACATTTGTGCTCTCCGATGTGTGCTCTCATGTGCTCTCATATGTGCTCCCATATGCTCTCATATGTGTGCTCTCATTTGTGCTCGTGAATCTCGATGTGCAGATGTTCTTGAAGGGTTTCGTATTTCAATGAACTTGCCGTTTTGGAAGATGTTCTTTACACTATTTGGGGTCCCTTGCCGGTGTAATTTGGGAGGGGCGTTGTTGCATCGAGAAGAGTTGTTGAGAGGATTCAAGGATAATTGAAATAAATCTAAATTCATCTATCTTAGGATATCTTATAGGTAATGATTCCTGTAATGACTAAGAGTGACCGTCATCCCACCCTTCGACCGGCACGGCCCAAAAGCCCCCCTGCCGTCGGTGGCGTGTACTTGGCTTGTTCAAGCTCGCCCACCTCAGGAGACCAAGGCCGGGCCGGGTGAAGTTGGAGGATGAGGGCCGGCCGGTCCGGCCAGGCTGGCGCAACAAATGGCCTTCTGAGGGTTTTTTTTGGGAGTGGCTGGAGTGGCTGACAGGAACACATACAAACCTCTAAATCAGGGTGACGGTTGGCTGCCAAAGGGGACATACATGCGGGATCCTGGTCCTCGTGAAAAGGGCGCCACTTGGATGATTCATGGCAGCTGCACTTCGACCGGCTTTTTCAACCAAACTGATTTTGGGAAATTGGGATGCGTTCCGTTGACACTTGGTTCCTGTATGTTCCTTCTTTCTTGCCCATCCATGTATGATGATGGGTCATGTTCGTTGACTTCGTGACATGTGTTTCAAGGCGCTGGGCTCCCAAACCCAACCAGCGCGTCGGTGCTCTGGCCGTCGCCAGGTACCGTCTGGCCTCCCCCGTCGGAGTTTTGCGGAAAAGCACGGCCGCTCGGTGGGGAGAGAGAGGCGTTGGTCTGGGACGAAGATGTCTAGTTCTGGGATCACGCCTGCATGATAGGGACATTGGGCAATGGGTTCAAATGCCATTCAAATGATCAACAAGACCTCAAAAGCAGAAAGAAACAAACAGTTCCAACCTTCACCAAGGTTACTCCTACCCTTGAGACTCATTGCAAGCTCAAGCGGCTCCTTCGCCTCTTCCTTCCTTCGTGTTCCATCCTCCGTCGCGGTGGGCGTTCGTGCCACTGGTTGCCGCTCGTTCGTCACCGTTCGTTCCGCCTGCGAGTCCAGGTGATGGTGGCGCCATCCTCGGTCGGACGTTTGACGGCGCGGAGGGGCGCCCTCCACGCTATTGAAAGGAAGCGAAACATGGGCGCCCCTGAGAGGGTCCCGGGAGCAAATGCAGTTCGAGCATGGACCTCGAACTGCATGTTCTTATGTTCTTTACACACAGGAAACTATTGGTTCCACAGTGAAAAATCTCAATTTGGCAAGAAGTGCTGGAGCCAAAGCATTGAGAAACATTACCAGTCAGTGGCAGCATGAGATCCAATAACAGGTTCTTTTGTGCGTGATTGATGGCTTTTCTCGCTTCTCACCAACCCAAAGAACGCCTACTGTCTTGCACGCAAAAGGTCGTTGTCTTCCTGTCTTCCTATCCCGTCACTTTCGGGCCAGTGGCATCCAGCGTCATCTGAAAGGTACCATCTGCTTGCTCCAACGCATCAGACGGAGGCTCCCTCGCGGCCGGCAGCCGACGGGACACGACCCAAGAGCAACAGAGGGGAACCAGGAGCATCGAAGCCTGAGATGAATCCTGCAGCGAATCCGGTGTCGACATCCCATGCTTTGGAGAGGACTTGGTTGCTTTGGCGATAAAGAACTAACACCTGTTGGGCCACTTCATGGCCACTGCTCTTTTGGGTGGTTCAGCCTTAGCAGGTCCTACAGGTCTCGAAAGGGTGTGTCCCAGAAATGTGCGAAACGCAGTGTGAGGTGGATATGGCTTGGGTTACCCCCTACTGCACAGGAGTTCATTAACCACAGTCTAGAGTCTAGGCATCCTTCAGGGGCCGATATCAAATAACGGAGCTTTGAGACCGAATGTCTTCAAAAACCTGCAAATTCTGTGATGTGTCTTCCGCCTTTCACCAAAGCAAACCAAACCCAACGGCACAGACCCAGTCCATTCGGTGATTATTTGATTGAAAAGACAATAAAGAGACCCAATCCATCTGTCTCACTCTGTTCAAACCGAAGGGTGCCTCATCAAACCTCGGTCTTCGCTCCCTTTTTGGCACCATTGTTCCTCACTCATTCGCCAAAAGCGCCCGTGTTGTTAAATTATGAGGCCAACCAACCAAACCCCGTCAGCTAGCAGCGCGGCATCATCGAGGCCTTAGGCAGATGAGTTCTTTCAGCCGCTCTGACACATCCTCGGAGCGCGGCAGATGCAATAAGAAACAGTCAGCGGAGTCAGAGCCATAGAAAAACTTTTTACAGTCTGTGATATAGTCACGGGATGTCATGGGTAGTTTACAATGAGGCAAAACACATTGGTTCACATTGGTTTTGCAGGATATGATTGAAGTAGTCATCCGGTTTGTGTGTGTGTGTCTCATCATGTCTCCTCTCTCTTCCACCTTTTTCGACCAAAAGCAGCTCTGGGTTCCGCCCACCACATCGGCGCCCGCGCCCGCTTTCGCCGCCTGGCGAAAGGGCACAGGAAGATCGAAGCGGTGTTGACTCGGGGAAAAATGCGAATTTGGACAGAGGGGTCTTCGGCGAAGAGGGTGAATCCCCGAAAGCATGCCAAAACCGGTAACGGTACTACACGCCCGCATTGCAGCTGGTTTTCAAGGTCAGGCCATGAACTTCCTCTCTCATCCCTCGCTCCATCCTTGGCAGCGGCTAAGGCCGCCGGGGCGGAGGCCAGCTTTTCGGCCCTGACCGACGCCGTGGCGGCGCGAGCGCGCGCGGGTGCGCGCGCGCGTGAGCTCGACGTACGGGGGAGGCAGCATGTAGGAGGCGCATCGAGACCCAAGGGGTTTGCCAGAGCTATTTTCGGATGTTGGTGCATTGTGCCTCTGCCAAGAGGACCACAACAGCACCAAGAAAAGGGAGATTCCTGTTTGACTTCTGCCGTTCGAGTCCGGCAAAAGGACTTCACTCGACTTGACTTCACTCATGCAGATCGGATTTACACCAGAATTACCATGACTCACCTCGTCATTTAGACCTTCGCTGTCGCGAAGTCGCAACAAACCGTTTCAAGCCCCGGAGGGTCCAAGAGGTCCCCGGTGGTTGACCTCGGTTCGTCACCTCTCGGGAGCCTGAGCCAAGGCTCTGAGCCATGGCGGACCAGCAGCCCGCAGGGCGGATGCAACCGTTCGATGCGTTGGCTGTTGACCAGTGACGAGGACAAGTGACGAGTCGCCGTGCCCTGTTGGTGAACGAAGTCAAACACGGGAGCAGGGGGAATTAAGCAATCTGACCTTCGAATGTAGGGCCTGTTTGATGCGTTTTGTATCACCAGAGCAGGTCGACCGGGAAAACCATGGAAAACCTTTGTGGAAGACCGGAGTGCGCCTCACTCCGGACTGCCACTGTGTCCGGTCTCGGACCCGGATGGTGGTTGGAGACTCGACCACCTAAGCGACCTGATCCGTCTTTCGGTGATTTCATAGACACCAACTGACTGGTGCTTAGCAGGGAATGAGGGAATGGATCCAATAGAATCTCTATTGGGGGCTCATTCCCTTATTCCCTACTAAGCACCAGTCAGCCAACACACCAACTGCGCAGCTGCGTGTGGGTCCTGTGGGTCCCGCGAAGCCTCGGTCCCCGGTCGACTGGGCTGAGGTCGACGGGACGCTGGCCCTCGACGACGTGGAGGGCCCGTGGTGTCCATGACAGTTCGGAGTCGTAATGAGTCCGACTCTTGTCCTGTCTAGACCAACTCAGTGGATCTAAAAATTTGGGTTTTTAGTAAAGCCTCCAAGAGGTGAAATCCTGGACGAAAGCTCCAGAGTACTTGATGAAATCGAAAGCTCCATCTTCGCCGCTTACGACCTGCACCCACAAGCCCGTGGTGGCGCCCGGATGGACTCGGCCTGCGGCGCCGAGCTTCCTCCTCCTGGCCAGAAAAAGACGCTGAAGGACTTCCAGTTTTAGTCACATACCAGCGCCCCCTTAAGGGGTGGTCAATGGACCTCCAAGCATTTCATAAACACCCTGAAACGAGGCTGCAGGAAAAAATCGGAGGCCGGCCATTCCATGTTCCCTACCGGCCTTATCCGGCCCTATCCCAAAAGAGCTTTTACCCGGTAGAGTTTGTAGAACAACGCCAAACGAAGAAATCCATCAACGAAGGACATGGCACCGCCGGTGGGTTGTGGCAGCCTGGTGACATCTCCTACGTACCCTCCCTGGAAGAATCATACAAGTGGACAATGGCCTCATACTTCTGCCCAGCTGCTTGCTGCTTTCCGCTCCAAAAAGACAAACTGAGTCCAACTGATGTGGTCGACTGGTCACAACAAAGTCCCAGGCCGGCGTGGCGCAAGGCTCGCAGAGCGGCTTCGGCTCTCTTTTATCTCCGTTCGGGTGGGCCAGTGCCTGTTGCGGCTGGTGCCTCAGCGCTTTGGGCCTCAGTGAAGAAGCCAAAGACGGAGCCGCGCAGCCCGTCGAAGAAGCTCAAGATGGCTTCGCCGCCATCGTAGCCGCTGTCGGTGCCTCAAAGGGAGGTGGATGGCGGCATGGAGCCACTGGGTGATCCAAGGGAGGCACTGGTCGCCCAGTGATGTCCGCAGCCCGAATGAAGCGAACTTTTTGGGCAAAGCCAAACCTCGAGCGACCCCCGGCGACGAATAAGACATAATCCATAGAAATCCCGTGAGCCGGAATCAAGAACAATGAATCCCCAGATCATACCTCGCCGTAAAAACACTTAGTCCCTAAAGACGTCACTTACAGACTCCAAAGAGGTCACTTTGAAGGTCCTGGAAGAGAATGCGTGGTGTTCCAAACCACCGGTCCTAACCGCTCCCTCCTCCCGCCAGGGCACTATCCAAATAGTCCAAGGTTTTGGCTCCGGTGGCCGCCAATGTGTTGATCCATGGGGGTAAGCGAGCCACCCCCAAGCGAGCACAGAAGACCTCTGTGAAGTGGTGGCAGTTCTTCGTTAACACGTGGTAGTCGCGGCCCCTCCAGTCGTGTTTCCTGCGATTGGCGCGCGCGTCCCAGCAATGAACCAGGTCAAACCAGAATCAGCAGTCAGAAATCAGCGAAGGCGTGACGTGAAAAGACCGGCGATTTCACCGGTTGTTGTGACTCGACTGTAAATGGATGTTCTATCAGAGGGCAACTGTCTTATTGCCACGCTAGCGTTCCACTTGGATTTTGTCCAAAAAAGAACATGCGGTTCCAATGGGCTTGTTGCTGGCTCTGCGTCACGACATTCAAAACCCTCCACACAAAAAGCCATAAAAAAAAGGGCTAAGCCACCAAATCTATGCAAGCCAATGAAACAAAAGCCATCAAGAATCAAGCCACAAAGGCTATCAAAAGCCACCGGCAATAAGATCGTTTAAAAAAAAAAAAACATGCAAAAGCCACAAACCACCCCAAGCCAAGCAAAAAATAAAAACAAAGGAAGACATTCGGAATATCAACTCATCACAACTCACAGAAACTTTATTCTATAAATTCCATCTAATACAAAATAATACAGCCACTAATTCCATTATCAATTAAATCCCTTGCAATTGAGCCATTCAAAATCTACAATCAGCTCCAAGCAGCAAGTCTTCCAGAATCTTGCCTGAGCGGACGAAGAACAATGGCTCACGAACGTGGCTTTCTCTGTTCGTGGGTGAGTCTTGCGGAGTGTGGTATGTCGATTAGATATCCTAGATGCTTGCTTCTTTGTTGATTGGTCCAGATATGGCAATATGACTGGACCGGAACAAGCCTACTGCCTACTCCTCAAAAAGATCGTATTGTTGCATATGCTGCTTGGTTCTCGTCCAGTCCAGTTCCAAGCGTTCCAAACCCGATGATCACCCGACATGTGTTCACACAACAGGTGGATGATCTCGAAGCACATACAGGAACACAGCCTGGCCGGTCTGATCGTCCCAAACCTTTGGGTTCTTTGGCTTCATGGCCCATCTTCGACCTGAAAACACACCGATTTCCACGTACGTGTCGCCAAGCGGCCCACCTCACGAGGGCTATACCGTGTATAGCCCATGCATAGCGTCTCTCGAAAGGTGTGGTCAGGGTTCTGGGCTGGTTCGTGGCAGATGATGCCCGAAGAATGGTCCAGCGTCATACCGAAACCTGGAGCAAAACACGGCAAAACATGCGCGAAATCGCGCCGGTGTTCAATTTTTTGTTGAAGACCCGGGCGGTACCTGGGTGGCGAAAAAAGAGGTGCAACCCCGCCCGCCATGTTCCGTCAGAACTAGCGCCCTGGAAGCGTGGCTTGATTTTTGGGGATTGACCCGTCTCAGGCACCGGGACTCGTCACCAAACATGGAGGACTTTGGGAGTTGGGAGTTGGAACTTTTGGGAGTTGGCCAGGGAAGCAATGAGTGGGATCCCAGAATCCAAGCCGCTTGCCCGAAGATGTTTAATGAATTTTATGCGTTCTCTTTATTGGAGGTCAACGAAGCTTGGTTCTGCCAAAACAAAACCAACATCCAACAACAAGCTTGGAGATGTCAACATGGTAGTTTGGTGAAGAACCAAGTGCAGAGTAAGCTGATAAGCGAGGAAGGGTTAGGAGCGCCGGGAAGGCGTCAAAGATCCAAGAGGTTACGGCCAAGGTGGTAATGTGGACTATTGACACTAAACATCTTCGCAGCAAAAGAGGTCACTTAATTATTAGCCTTGCTTTTGGTGGAAGTCTGGAGGTACAACCTCAACTCATTCAAGTGCCCATAAGTGCATTCTGACGGGCAGTGCAGATTCTGTTGAAATTACAGAACTTTGTTGGCTTATCATGCTTATCTATTGCATGTTTGGTGACCGACCCAGTCATACCCAGTCCGAGTCCTTGGATTTGGTCCATGATTCTGCGATTGTTGGGAGACCATGGAACACCATGGAGACCTAGGCATGTGGGGGACGTACTTGATGTTCATCATATAAATCGGACATGATGAAACATAAGCAAGACGCCTACTTCATTCCTCGTAGTCATCTGGTCACATACAAATGTGAAGCACCTACTCGGTCCTCCTCACTCTTAGAAAGACTATCCTTTTTCAAGACTATTTCTACATGAGAGGATTTGGGTTCCACGGAAGACCTAGAGATCAACATCCATCACGTTTCACGGCACGCTTCCTCCAAAAGCAAGAAACAACAAAACACTCTCTGAATTCGGTTTCTCGGTCAAGAAAAACATGCACAAAATGGGTGTGGGTCAACCCAAACTTGAACAGAATAGACAAGCCTAGCTGAGGAGATGCACCATTTTCACCCTCATCCTGTGGACTCACCTGAAAAATGCCAAGAAGCTCCACTCTTTGCCTAAGTTCTTGCAAGTTCCGCTGCATCTGCTCAAACCACCCGGGGAGGACATAGACAAAAACAGCGCAGTTACCGAAGTGGGTCTTGATAGCTGGAAGTGATCCCTTGATTTTCCTCACCTAGCTTATCCTAGCCTGTAGTTGAATCCGTTTGGGCTTACGAGAAAGTGGTAAGTCATTTGAACACATCCAATTCTGTCACTTTGGCAGAGCATGACTTTCTTCAGCACTAAGTAGAAAGCCACAACAAGCCTATCATTGTTGGCTGCAAGCACAAAAGCCTGGAATCCCCCAGTTTCTTCGTTTCTTCCAAGCGACCATAGACCTCGACTCCCGTGTGGAAAGCTCCGTAGTCTTTGGTGAGCTGGTTGTAGCCCCGTGTCAACATCGCCTGAGGTAACGAAGCGGACGCTGAAAAAAAAGCGTCTGCTCGGATCCCACACTGTCAGTGAGGCAATTCTGAACCGCTTTTGCGGAAAGAAACCTTTTCCTGTAAGGTACAAAAACCCAGTACAGCTTGGCCCTCTTCCTTGCGTAGTGTTGTTGTATGACATTTCATGAGGTCCAATCTGCCTTCTTGAGATCTTGATGGATCCCTCTCCCGTTTGGCCCTGGGGTGCCTGTCCCAAGTCATAGACGCGCACCAAGACCCGTTCACGGTAGACCTTCCTTGGGCGTGGGACCGTCTCAGAGCTGACATGGCTCTTCGCCTCAGTCCTGAGCGGGCGAAACCGGAGACGACGACGACGAAACGACGTCTGCGGCCGAAGAGGCGGAAGAAGCAACACCCGTGCGACGAAGAAGACATGAGCAAGAACCGGCACGATGGTGCGCAGAGCGGATCCGAGGAAGGCGACCAGATGAGGTCCAGATGGAAGGCAAAGAGAAAACCCACCGTGTCAGACGTCAGATCGACCGAAGGGTGGTGGGGTTGTTGAAGACTAAGGCCAAACTCCCTGGGGTCATCAACTGGTAAACCATGCAATGACAGGTGTAGAAACAGTGTCACGAGATTCTACCCTGCTGTCAGTGTAACAAGCCTTGCACATCCCAAAGACTTCCTCATGCAACCAGGGCTGCAGGTTGGCTTCAATGATTGCAGCGGAAAATTCCCCACCGGACATTGCAAGACTGGCCGGAAACTCATGGCATGAGCAGAAACTTCCGGGGTCTCCAGTTACCCATAGTTACTGTGCATATAGGGTGCCTCGTGAATTCGAACTTCCGCATGACAAACCATCCTCCACATCACGATGGTAGAAAAAAGCATGCCGATGTGTGTCATGAATCTTTCTTAGGACCTTAGGATGACAATGAATACATCGAAAATGAACATCCTAAAATACATCGAACAAATCCAAAAACCAGGACCTTAGGACCTTAGGCTTGGGCACAATCCAAAATACATCGAACAAATCGCTTCCAGAGGGACTCTTTCAGTGGAACATGACGGTGCGCAGCGCCGAATTTCGATCAATGTGATCCCCCACCTTCACCCTCAAATGCCCCTCAGTCTTGGGACACATGGCAAACCAAAACGAGTGTAGAAACAGCAGAAGTCAGATCTTCACAAACTTCCAATCACGAGACACTACAAAACATCGCCTGAACAGGACGATGTCCTCAGAACATGGCCTGCCTAGATCGATTCTGTCGAGAAAGAAAGAAAGAAAGAAAGCCAAAAACCCACAGAGGTTAGTCAGATGTCCAGAGAGATCTCCTCCATTTAATTGAATCAGCTTTGCCATCGGTCTCGTCATGCTAATTACATCTAATTACTACGTATGGTTGGCTATCACCGAGGTTCTTTCCTTCGGAACTTTCCTGATTGGAGCCTTCAGCCTCTGATCGGAAGGGCAGCCAGTTCATGGCTGCAAAGGAAGAGCTTGAAAGGCAGCCGCCTCCCTCGCACTGCTTCCGCAGAACGCAAGGCCTTGTCCGCCCGTTTTAAGCACGGCACACGGTCGACCGTGTTTTGCCGTGAGAGTGTGTTGCCACGCTCGGTGTTGGTCATGTGAATGGTTTTTTCAGATGTTTGGAAGAGTTTAGCTACAGAGGTCCAATACAGCCCTTGAGAGTGAACTCCTGGCTTGCTTCCTTACTAGTAAGAAGAAGCTACTAGTAGCTCCTGGCCTTACTACTAGGAACAAGAAGCTACTAGTAACAAAGAGCATCGCTACTAGGAGCGAGGACCCTACTCTTTTCAATTTGACTGCATGATCGTTGTATAATACTGTATGTCATACGCTTGGGCGTCAACATGTACTGTGCCAGAGCCCAACTCTGTGCTTTGGCCAGCGGATGTTCTGCCAGCCCAAAGGTGCTGCAAAGGCAAGATTCCAGTCCGGCACTTGCAAAAGATAGAACTCGCTGTGAACTCACAGTTTTTAATAGTTGTCAGCTACTTGTTTCCCACTTCCACATGAACGCGGGAAACATTGCCCACTTTGTACAGAAACATGGTCAAGCTCACCAAGCCATCTCCAATTTCGAGGCACTTCTTGGGCGCTGCGGCGCCCCGAAAGCACCGAAAGCGCCGTCCTGAAGCCCCCCAGTGCCACGCCACCAAAAACCACCATGACCAGCACGAAGGATACGGTACCTCACCTCGCTATTTTCGACCAAACAGAAATTGAACGCGGGACCATCGCATCCCGCCTTGGCCGCCCGCTTCTCCGCCAGCTCCGCTTGCTGCTGGGAGATTTCCCAGGTAAGCCTGGCGCGAGCGAACAGTTGCAGCTGTGGCCGATGTTCGAAGACGGTGATCCCGTCTCCCCCGTGGCCCCTTTCAGCAGCGGGTTTTAACGAGAAACCGGGTGATGCGGGTAGATAGTGGATGAGTTTGAAGGTCGACACCTCTGGTTGCTCTTGGTGGAGAAAGTTATGCAACTCTGAGACGGGCCAGTTGGGTTGCACCAGTTTCGAGAAACATGGAGTTGGGCGTGGACGTCCCACAAGAAATGTGATGAGTCGCTACGCTTGTTCTCTATACCCATCTGGTTGCTGACGATTGCCATCAACAACCCATCCGGGCCCATCCAGTAGATGGAGCGCCCCCTAAATATACAGAATAGCTAACCTCAAACACTGCTTTGGATCTCCTTTGTCTTTCATGTCCAAGACTTGTTCTTTGCTCAGCGATGCACCGAGAGACATGTCAGTCCTAGTCTGCCGGAGCCATGCGCCTTTGGCATCAGTTTTGGGATCCACCGTAGACCCAAAAGAATCTGACCGCCGTAAGTCTGCATCGGTCTGAGCAAACCCCAACAGAGTAAACTGCTTGGGGAATTAAAAAAACTCATGCCGGAGAAGACCATTCCAGCTGATCCTTGTCGACTGGCCAAATCTCGGGCTTTCTCCAACTACCTTGGCCGGTCGGGAAAGGGTTGGAAGTCTGTTGGCAAATCGCCTGGCTGAAGAAATGAGGTACAAAAAATCAAAGCAACAGGAGGTGTTCCTAAAAGGCCTTCCGATTCTCAATCAAGCCCGACCCCGGAAAGCCACGTTAAAAGAATTCAAGGACATAGCAATCCAATTAGCTGGTCAAACTAGCTCAGTCTTACATAATAGTCCAGCTCAGAAACCTAATGCACCCTATCAAGCCGGTCTTGTTGCTGAAGGGTGGCTGGAGACTGACTATGTAAGGTCTGATGTATCAATCGATTCTGGAACACCAAACACGGTGCAATGAAAATCCGGTTGTTAAGTCAACGAGAAAAGAAAACACTCCCTCCTTGACCAGGCGGTTGGAAAAACACGAGGCACCTGGTTAAACTCTCTCAACAGTGGGATTCTACTCGCTGCTTTACGATGGTCAGCAATCAAAAAAGCACCCTATAGTAACGAACCAAATTTGGCCACACAGCCAAACCCCAATGGAGTGCAAAAGAACAAGTGACCCGAGAATACCCCAGTTAGATAGAACTTATAGAACATGATGATAAAACATTATAATCATGATAGAACAATGAACAAAGACTCCCCTCCAAAAATGTGAAGACTGCTTCCAGTGCATTTGGGAACCTCTTCAATCCTCTTCATTCTTCAACAAGGACGCTACTAGGTGGAGGCCATCGCTATTAGGTTGGAGGCCATTGCTACGAACGTCACAAGGACGCTCTTCCTTCGTCCAGGCCAACACCCAGTGGCCATTGCTACGCTGCGTCCACCGAAGCAAGGTCTGGTCTTCCAGGAGCTGGCAGAGGTCGGCAGACCCGGTCGTCGTCAAAACCCCTGCGTGGTGGACCCCATTCGGCAGCATGTGGTTTCTGATTGAATTCCACGTTGTTTTTGTTGTGACCTGGATCTATCCAAATCACCCAAAAAAAAGTGGGTGATGGTTAAGAGAGGCCTGATTCATCATGAGGCCCAAGAAGTATAATCGTGTCTGATCTAGGACCATCTGGTCACGATCCCACCATCTGAAGCTGTGGAAACTCCTCATAGATTCATAGGGCGGCATGACCATGCATGACCTTAAAAAAGACCTGGTCTTATTAAGACCTTTTCTTCGGGTGACCATCTGGTCACATCCTGTTGAGATCTTTTCCTCAAAACTTTGGCCACACAGATCGTACCAGGTAACGGGTCACCCGGAGGAACCGACGGACCCTTTTCATCCAAGCGTCGTGAAACGGGCGAGCAACCCCTGAGTCAAGCAACCCCTCAGTCAAATAAAGGACTTCCATGGCATTCCACGGCAAGTGAAGAGGAATAATCTGTGAATATATGAATTCCGGTGCCTTGGCGCTGAACCGAAGCCTGATCACTCACACTTTGTGGCTTCTAAAAGGGCTGGGCATCTCCATCTCTGATGATCCAAATCGGACCATATCATCACCCACTCACCACACCCAACACATGCCCCAGCCGCCGCTCTTGGGGCGTTCAACGCCCCAGCCAGCAGACCAAGTGGCCCACCCCTTGCGGCCGACTCGCCCCACGGCTCACTACCCGCCTGCAGTCTGCTGCCATCGCTGCGGGCCAGCGCCTCTTCCGGCGGCGAGGAAGGCAAGGCCTCCTTCGTCAGCGCGGACCGGGGCTTTTCGCCCTTCTCCGCCAAGGAGCGCCACATCGAGCCGCTGAAGAGGAGGGCGGGTCGGGTGGGTGGAAGGGCGACTGCCTAACCGAGTATGACCGAGGGCATCTTGTTTGGTGCTGTGGCCGGCTTTCCGGTTGCTTTCCGGCTGAAGTTGGTTCCATTGGGTGTGGGGGGATATTTGAAACGAAAGAAAGAGAGTAAAGGAACATGACAATGACACTTCATGACATAACGATGAACAAAACAGGCACTGATGGCCCAACTGATTGTGGGTGCTTTTTGCTCTCTCTCTCTCTCTCTCTGTGAACACAATCTGTCATGTTTGTGAATGTGAAACTAGGTCAACACTCTTGAGGCCTGAAATTTGCATGTGCCATGATATCATGAGGTTGCAAATGCTGGCATGCTGGCAAATACTGCTCACATATTTATATATACAGTAATCAAAGTTGTTTGAACATATTTGAACCACATCGTGGCTAGACATGAACACCCACACTACCAACAGGGTCCACCTACCTACTGAGCCAAGAAACCGGCGGAATGAGCGGCACAAAGAAGTTGCTCATAAGGTATTCCACACTGGCCAGTGAGTCGAGGTTACAAACAAACGAAGCGACGACAATTCAAAACCGATCCTTGGAAGGATTGTAGAAACCAACTCTGCATTTGACAGCAAGATCCAACAAGTATCGCATCTAATGAGTATGTACCCTGCTTTTGATCCTGGCTCACATAGCACTCAATCAGCATCGAGATCAGCTTTTCCCCGGATGTTTGCCTGAAAACGCCTGCACTGGCGGTTCCAAGCCACTCCCACGTCGTTGTGCGCAGTGAGTGACATTTCTGGAGCATCAGCTTTGCAGTGGAAAGAATCGGTTCGGCGCAACCTTCGGAGCCAGGCTCCTGAGAACTCCACCAATTTTATGCGCCAAATCTGACGGATGGAGATTCCAAAATGATGAGAACCTCCATAAGTGGGATGTCTTCAAGGCTAATATCTAATAATATCCAAGAGAGAGGGTGAGCTCTGGTGGTGTTTTTTGTGCACATCGTCTTGAATTGGCGAAGAACGAACAGCATTTTTTGATCGGATTCTCTTCCGCCCTCAGCGACCCTCGAGAGTGAGCACCCTGCCGTGGAGCGGTGGAATGCGACGAAACCGGCACCAACGACTTGACCTGCTTGCGGTGGATGAGTATTAGGGCCTTCTGTTGATCGAGCTTTCTTCGTTTTTTGACCGGTCGCTGTTTTTTTGTTTTCGGGATGTTGATGTGCGTACTTTCTGAAAGTCAAAAACTGGTAACCGGACTCGAAAGATGGAGATATCATCTCTCTCACTTGTCAAAATTCATCGAAATATCCTTAACGAATCGCAATCCCATCTGAGTGCCCCGAACGTGGCGGCCGGCCGACTTTGCAGCTCAATGCCTACCTGGTCACGCGCTGCCCACACGTAAAATTCCGCGCGCAAAGAGAAGCTTCGTTTTCCATGTGCAAGTGATGGTGTCTTCATCGACATGTTCTTCGATGGATGTTTTGCATGGTTTTGCGAGCGAGTTTTGAGTTTGGGAGCAAAGTTCTTGAAAGCGAGCTGGGTCCGACGAGGTGTCTTTTTGGTTGAAGTTGTGAGTCTGAGCCGTTGGACGCCCAAAAAAGAACCGATATAGGAGAACTGTTGCTCTCGGTTCGAATTCGGCACGCCAACCATGGATACAAGGAGCCAAAATAATTGTTTAAAGAGAAAGAAAAAGAAAACAAAAGTAAAGTAAACAAAAAAGCAACAAAATGTAGCTGTGCGTGTTTGTCACCTTTTTTTCACGTTCGTTTCGATTTATTATGGCATATGTTCTTATTTGTTCGATTTGCGCGTGTTTTCCGCATGGTTTTCGATTTGTTCCTAGGAGCGTACAGCGAATATTGCTGACGGGTAAACGTTCTCATAAGTGCAGAATCAGGAAAAAACAAAAACAAAAAACAAGCAAAACAATTGCAAAAGCAAAGCAAATTGCGCTGATTTTGCATGTTTATTTGCGTTTTTCGTGTTTTCACACCAAAAAATATTTGATGGTTGGTCATGTATGGCTGCCATCGCTGAACACAACTCTCGCTCGGTATTCCCTTTTGGTTGGGCTAGTGTCCTTTTCTGCCAAGTCACATCCACAGTGTCATCATCATTGATCTGCTCCTGCCAGGTGCGCTCGGCTTGCCGCCGCTCGGCTTGCCGCCGCTCGGCAAGCGGCTCGGCGGCTTACGTCCAACGGTTCCTGCTGAGTCGAATGTTCGGATTCCACCGAGGCCCATGAGGATCAGTCAAGGATCTGAACCTTTGCCCTTGGATCTAATAGGTGGGGGTTCCGAATTACAGATTCTCCTTGGATCCTTGATGCACTTGAGAGGAGGGAGACACGAAAGGTAGGACAGCGGGAAGAGAAGAGAACGCGAGAGGCACCAACAAAAATGCAATGTTCGACATGGTGATTTATCCCCTCGGAGGCGACCTTTCGCAAATATAATTTCATATGCACTCTAAATGTTCAATCATACGCTCTCGAAATGTTTAAAAAGATTCTTAGGAAAACAAACTTGCCCCATGGCTCACAGCATCAGTGAGCATTGAATCGGAGCATCATAGGATTTGAACTATCCTGAAACCATAAGAGGCTCACGAAGACGTTCCACAGGAGAGAATTGACGTGCTTCACAAAATAAACTCTAGGTATGTATCCCCTCAGGGAACACCTTTCGTGATTAGAATATCATATGCACTCTTTCTCAACGTTCAAGAGGGTTTCAACTATCCTGAAATCATGAAAGGCTCACGAAAACGTTCTCGAGGAGAGAATTGAATTAGAGAGGGGGGGGGAGGGGGTCTGTATTGAGAAATCAATTCGAGGGGGGGGGGGTTGAATTGAATGATCAATTATTAGACCCGGACGCGCCAACACTTGCTGCGCAAGACAAACTCTAGGTATCCCCTTAAGGGCTACCTTTCGTGATTTGTGTCTTGGTCTTTTCAATTGTCAAGGCGGTTAGATCAGTATAGTATAGATCAACAAATCCATCTGAGAAACATGATATCCGACAATGGTAACTTGGAGGCATTGTCAAAATGGATTGTTCCATAGATTTGGGACTGTGGGATTTGAGGTCAATGCCCCCTTCCAGCCCTTGCAGCAATTGACTCCGCTTGAAAGCGGAGTCAATCGCGACATCAGTAAACCAATGACACGCACACACATACACGACAAAATCAGAAATACAACAAGTACGACTCGCTTCCAGGAATACGAAACAAATATGAGACAAATACCACAACAACACATGAGCAGCACTATGCGATATTGTCTTCATAAATATCTTCCTCACTCTCAGCACCCTCTACAAAGAGACCAAATATTGCCAAGGCATTGCCATGACGCATTGCCTGTCTCCGTCTTCAAACTTCTCGGCTGTCTCCCGCCCACGAATCCCGCCCATCGCCCGTCCGACGTCTCTCGCTGCGTCACGGCGCCGACGCGTCCGAGTCTCTCGCTGCGTCCGCGCCGCGGTGGGCGGCGACGCGGTCGGCGCCTTCAAACTGCAGAAGTCGGGCAAGCCCTTCCCGGATCCCCGGTCGAAGGTGGTCCTGATCGGCCCCTGGCCACGCCGGGATAGGCAGGCGGTGAAACCGGGGTGTTTCCGGGTGACACCATAAAGGGGTGGGTTCAAACCGGGTGTGGAAGAACGCACAGCAGAACGTCCTGAGAGCCGTCTTTTTGTTCACACCAAACGGTGGATTCTGGAGAGTCGTCAAGGTACATACGACGTAGGGGTTCGGGTTTTTGAATGTTTTTGGGAGGTGCAGTGTAGTTGCAAGTAGTAGCTCCACTGATTTGTTTGAAAAGGAAAAGCAATCCTGAGTAGAGTCATGTGCTAAAAATTCCCAGGTGGTTCATGTCGATGTTATCATGGGCCTTCTTTGGAGGACTCTTTGGAGGATGAACCTCTATTGACATGCGTCAACGGATCATGAACGAAGGGCCAAAGGAGAGCCCAATGGTTGCTTCAATGGTCACGTGTTACTGCAACATCACCAGCATGTGACTCTGAGTGATTGGCTTCTGAATCTGAAAAGTCCCAAACTCCGTGAGAAGATACACTTTGAAGATACACCTTGCTGTAGTACTTCTATTTCAAACTCCCTCAGTCTCCCTGGAAGACAAAGCTTCACCATGGTTCACTGGTTCACCATGGCACCATGGTTCACCTGTTTAATGCAGAAACAAAAGCTAAAGGTCATCCACTGACCGGGTAGGAATTCAAGACACTACAAGACGCCCTCTTCCAGGGGCCTGTGACGCTTTTGACGCTTTTGATGAAATGTTGGACAAGCAAGAAGTCCATAGTTTCATTGCATCCGTGGTCTATGACCAAAGAGCTGCATCATCTTTCACATATCTATGAATGTTTGTGGAATATGGATATAAGGCCAATGGATCAGAGGAGAAACGAGCATTCTGCTCACCCAGAATGGGTCTCTAAATTGCACAACCACCGTGACGTTCAATACCCCAGAAAATCACCAGAAAGCTGCGAAAAATAAACACGAAGGGATCACTACCTTCGGATATTTCAAGACACCCCCATGTCGCTGCGCCTTCTTGACCTTGCCCACAATCAAGGTCACGATCAAAACCACTTTCTCCGGGCATCTGGCCAAAAACGATGACGCCCGTACCAGAACCATACGACCGAAAACCTGAACCATACTGGCCCCAACGTTCGATGTGCACACGGGTGGACCTGCGTCACTACACTTGCAGCCAGCCCTTGGACGAGGGGACGTCGGCACAGAAAGCAAAGGATCACATTGTGTGGTTTCTGCGTCTTTGTTTCGGCCATTCGTGCGGCTCGTCCGAAGCGTGCGTGATCATTTTTTCTGTTTGGTTTCCTTTGGTACAAAACTCGAAGGTGAAGATGTCTTGGCTGTTGGCAAACATATCAACTTTAGCAGCTATAGTAGCTATAGCTCTTTTGCCACTGAAAGAAAATGGCAGGGGCCTGTGTCCAGCCGACAAACCACCACATTGGGTAGTGGCTTGGGTCCCTTCAAACGAACACCATCGAAAACCGAGGACGCGAACGGAGCACAACAAACAGTTGAAGGTCCAAATGCGTCCCAACACTCAGATTGCGTCTCGACGGTTTGGGTGGGTGGTTTGGGGGTGAGAGAGCAGCATCCATCCCATTGCCTCACATAGAGGGAGCAGAAGCCGTCCTGGCGGCATCGGACGTGGAGTTTTTCAGGTCGGGTCGGTGTTCATCTGGTCTCTCAAGTCGGTATGATGCCAACAGAGATCCACACTGACGAACACGTCACATGCTGTTTATTCCTCCATGATCCGAAGAAACACCAACGGAGCAATGTACAGTAGTCTCCCACATCTTCCTAGGGGGTCTGGTTTTGGTCCATGAATCATGATTGGCGGGAACCCACAAACGAACACCTTGAAGGTCGTTCTGGACATTTGGCAACGAAAGGGCCAACCGAAATAGACTTTGTGGCCCCTTCAAAAGGCAGGGTCTCCTTTTATTCCACATGAGGAGAAGAGTGTCTTAGACTTAGACGCGCTCCTTTAGTAGACATTTGGAATGCACGGGTTGCCCGGTTGCTGAGCTTTCGCTGAAATAAGTACCTACAATGTTTTGGAGAACACGAGACACTACAACCCTCGCTCCCAAACCAAACAAAGGATGCAACGAGGAAGGATCCGCCAACTATAGGCCAACACGGATCAACCAGGTAACCATGATCAACCTCTACAGCCTCCAGAACGCCGCCACCGGGTGTAGCTTTATGGATTTCACTGAAAGTTCCCTCATCTGAACTGCGAGAGTTTGTGGCCGACTGCAGTCGCTGGCCACCCGTCGTCTACTGACTTCACTCGGCTGCGATGCCGGTCCTTCTTGGTCGCAGCGCAGCCGTTGGGATAAAACTCCATCCTCAGTGCTCACAATTAGCCAGTGTAACATGTATTTGGCTACTGCTTGACCTTACTTGAAGGGAGTTGTCCCAAGATATGAGAGGAAGGAATTCCGAAAGAAGACCATGAAGTGGATCATATGCTCCACTTCGACTGCTCTGATGCAAATGTCTCTACCATCCATCCTTTATATCAGTCAGTCTTGCGGCTCGTGCCACGTGCCCACACAGGTCCACGTGCCCGGTCCGCCCACACAGTCGACCCGAGCCGAGTCGATCAAGAACACCGGTGGCCGAGTCGATGAAGACCGGAGTCCGTCGGATGAAGTCCGAGCCACTGGATGTCGCTGATGCCAGCTGCCGTGAAGCAGGGGCTGCATCTGGGCGGGAATGAACTCGGCAACGAGAGGAACTCTATAGCGCCAAGGGAAGCCATCGCTAGTAGGTTGAACTCTAGGTTGGAGGCCATCGCGAAAGGGATGAACTCTATAAATCTCTATAACAGTATCCATAACTTTCTAGCATGAATACTCCCTGAAATGATCATGAGTTCAGATGGCAGGTTTTCCCCGATGTCGGATGACCATGTTCCAAAGCCCCGAAGCAGGTGGTGGCGTTCCGCTTACATGATGAGTTCATGGTGTGTAGTAACAATAATATCAATATATATCCATTTTTGTCTCCTACTCCTACTGGTCTTGCAAACAATACAACAATGCCACATGCATCGTCCCAATGCAAGTATTTGTAGGGCTTTCGGATGCTTTCGGCTAGGTGAACTTCACTGCATCCCATGGTGAATAACGAGACATGGTGGCCAGGTCTTCAAAAAAAAGACGAGAAGTGCACAGCTAGACAATAATAGTATATAATATATAGCCATATATAGCCCCTGTTTACGGCCGTATAACGGCCACCGCTCGTGACCACTTGGTGTATAACTTGATCATGCTTGATCACTTGTGATGACCACTTGGTGAGGTGTAACGTCCATCATTGGAACAGTTGTGAGTCGCTGAGTTTCCAACAGCTGCGCTGCATCGAACAGCTGATGAGTCGCTGAATTTCATCCAGGCGACATTGAGGCGCCTCTTTGATAGAGGTGCAAGGCATTTCCCACCTGCAAAGCCGCGACAAAAAAATGTCCTTCCCAACAAACATGTTTGTCTCGCCTCTTGGTCAGGCCAAGTACATGTGAATACCGAAACAGTCTTTGTCAACGTAAAATAAGACGTCAGAGATGAGTTGAAACGGTCAGACGGGACGATCAGGCTCTCCAAGTCGGTGGCGTCGTTGACAACATGACATCCTAGACATCAAAGCAACATGGCCACTGCAAGCATCTTCACCTTCTTCAAAACACGCTCCACCTCGCAACTCTGGTTGCCTGCCTTTACTTGCAGAAACCCACGGAACCCTCTGCTGTCGCTGAGAACGGGCCGTCGAATGTTCGACCTTGTGGACTTTCCACGAGATGGACTTCACCCCGCGGTTCTCCAAGACCTCCGCCTGGCGGCCATGGGTTCTCAGAGACGGGCATAGGCCCGTCATTGCCGAGAAGGGCCAACAACGGTGCGCATCTGAGGGGGCGAAGGAATTGTTCATAGGAGGTCGACCTCCCAGTTCGACCTTTTGGATCCTTTTGGTAGGTTTTGGTCGGAAACGAAGTCTCAATTTTCAGTGCAACACCCACTTCTTGGGGGGGGCTCCGTAGTCCCAAGGTTCACCCCTCTATGCAGGAATGATGGGACCTCAACAAGAACATAGCTGTGAGTCATGGCACCAAACCTGAGCTGCCAAGGTTGACTGGGTCAAGTATCGATGATGAACGGGCGACTGGGTTCTTCGCTCCAATGGCTTTCGGTTCGTCCCAGTTGTGAACCGGCTTAGCCAGTTCACAGCGAGGAGCTCAAGCCTTACAAGCGAGGATTGTTTGTTTCAATTCAGTGTGGCCAAATCATCCCCCGCAAGGACATTCATGTCTGCCTGAAACACCCTTCCATCGTGAAACCGCCCACATTGCCGACATTGGCTTCATTGCAGGCTGGCTGGTCAAAAAGGTTTGCACTCTGACGAACACATCACATGGAAATGTAAAACTCCCTGTTCGTAAAGGAATGTAGTCTTCCTTTCAAGACCATCTCTGCCACTTCCATGTTAAAGTTCGTGAGTCTTGATGGTTTTCGCTCCCAATATACAAATCACAAATCCCACGCCATCCTGGGAGTTTTGGCTTTGAATTCCTCCATTCGTCTTTCAGCTGTGAACAGCTGCACCAGGGACCACGGTGTCTTCACTCGCTCCGTGGAGGGAGTGAGGAGTGGGAAGACTCACTCACTCCAACGGGTAGAGAAGCCGAAGCTTTCGTGGAGTCTTGGTGACAAAAACCGCCTGGTTGGTGTTTTCGGAGCTCATGGTCATCTGATGGTGTGAGGTGAGCTCAACCTGCCATCCATGTAACTCATCATGATTTCAGGGAGCGTGGAGGAAATCGTATTGGTAGGAATCTCATTCTAATGCACCTCCAATTCTGTCTTGTTCTATATAATTATGTTCTCGCCTAGCTCCCCCTCCTGTGGCCTTGGGTTTCACAGGCCGGCCTCCATCAACCGTTCCAGCTTTACAATGCTCGCATCCTGTTCTTTCATCCCTTCGGAAGCTACGGAACACGCGACGGAACATCGCGTTCCGCGTTCAGCGGATGCGTTGCGGGTCTGCCGCCTCCTTCTTGACCCACTGTTGCAGCGGCCAAGCAGACAGCTTGAGGTTCCTTTCAGTCATCTCGTAGGTGGTCATGACCTGTTCGCTCAGTCAGAAAGAAGCATCTTGTTGGACCAAAGCCGTAGCCTCATAGCTGGGTTTTGACCATCACAACTAGGGTTTTGGGCCGAAGCAACATGTATCAGTTTTCAGGGTCCATGAGTCAAGCTCAGGGGAAACTCATGGGTCCATCATCGTGCTCAAACACATTGACGATCTCTCATGTTTACTGTTAAGTTAGAGGTCCTATACAGCACCTTGAGATGAACTTGTCCTCAAAAAAGCGGCCTTTGCACCACGTGAGTCATTTCATCAACAGCAACCACTTCAAGATGTTTCCAAGGAAGAACTGAAGAACCAAGAAGAGCCTTCAGATCTATAAGAACAATTAAGAACCTATAAGTTCACCCAAGTTCTCCCTGATCCCGATGCTCCTCCCTCAACCTGCCACCCACCGATCACCGATCCTGAAAGCTCCTTCTTGGGGCGCGGCGTGCGGAGGGTTCCGCGCCTCAAAGATGTTGCATCCCACGGTGACGCTGTCGTTCGCCAGGTCGATCTGCCGAAAACCGGTCGTGACCAGAGAACGGATCGGCGCCCCGGCGTGGACGTCGAGACGTCGCGCCGTCGCCCCGGGTCGTAAGGAAAACGCATCGGCGACGACCGACCCACCTCCGGCGCTAAGGGACAGAAGTTGGAGTGGCCGTGGCCCACTTCCGCGTCGTACCTGTGGCATGGGAGTTCCTCCCATTGCGAAGTGGGCGGGACGGGAATGCATGGATTGCACATGCAACGAAATCCAGTGGAGCACAGTGGAACATACGGTCAACCCACCATGGAAAAAGCGTGGAACTACATGTTTCATCATGTTTCTATACTCTTACTCTTTCCAGATCCAGGAAGTGAGTACGCTCAGCATTGCTGAGCGCTACCGTAGTTCCCTGCACTGAGAGTGGAAGCGTGTGAACATCGAACCGTAGATCCTGGTCCAGCTGACTACATCCCGTACTTGGATGTTCTTAAAGAAAACCGAAAAAAAAAAAAAAAAAGAATCTTCCCCAGAAGGGGTCACTTCTTCTTTCCCATAGAGAAAACAAAAAAATCCTCCAATCAGCATGGCGCCAGGCTGTATCGTTTTACATGCCGTTTCAGAGACGCCGCGGTCGCACCCCGAACTTGGACTCGGAACACCGACGGAGGCACCGCCTTCTGACCGGCTAGTCGTGGTCGGAGCACCGGTCATGGTCGTCGGACGCTGGTCCGGACGAAATGGTGTGCACCTCTGTACACCGCTCATGCGTATATATAATGATCAAGTGAATATCAAGTGTCTACACTCTTATGCTAAAAGCAAAAAGTTCGCCAAAAAAATATCCAGCCGGTTTGATGGATGAATGTCCTCAATCGTTTTGGCGCTCCGTCAGTCTTCCATGCGACATAGGTCAAACTCAGGTCAATCTACAACGGCTACATAGGCACGACTCACACGACCACTCATGACATACAGAATCAGAAGCCGTTCAGTCACTTGGAGTTCGTTCAGTCCTGGAACAGCTCTGAAAGGCGGTTGACGATCGGCAGATCGGTGTTCACCATGGCGACGACGGAAAAAAGGTTTAAAAAACGAAGCCATCTCTTTCCACCGCCGCGCGCACGTGTCCTCATCTGGAGCCTTCATAAAGGACCCCACCCAGAGTTGATACCTGGTCACGAGCGGCGATTCGGGTCATCACCGGCCACATCCTTCTTCTCACCCTCTGCCTCTCTGGAGTGAGACGAGGTCGTCAAACGGGGTGGTACATGCTACTGCGTATGGACAGAAAGAAACAGCGCCTAGTTAGTTCGTGCTTCCATGGCTAGTTTTCTGGTACCAAAGGGTCTAGTTTTCTGCCCCTGCTAGGCATCCCAGAAACGGTGTTCACCTGCCAAAGAGCCTGGTGTGCCAGTTCACCTCAGCCACCAAATGAAGATTCCTTTCGAATTAACCGTTGGGATATTTGGAATAGGAACGTGATGCACAGGTTTCTGCGTAGTTGTGTAGGAGTTTTTTCCTCTCACAGATGTGTTGGCAATAGAACAACTCTTTCTTGATTCTGAAGGTCCCACCAGTCTGCTACAAGTAGCTTGTGAAGTACTTGGGCAGTACATCGATAGCTATGGAGCGCCTAACGTGTGACCTGCAAATGACTAAAGTTTGGCTAAAGAGATCTAAAGCGTCAGAAAGCACCATCAAACTTGCGTGGCATTGGAAAACAATCAAACCCTGCGGGTTGCTCAACTAGACTATATCATCGAACACGTTCCTTTGAATCCATGGTTTTGTATTGAAATAGGAAGACCTCACAAGGGGTTCGTGGAAAGTGTATGTTTGGATCTTCTGGGGTCTCCCTACTTCCAGAGCCAGGTCCCTCCCGCCACAAGGATCAGCGAAAATCTGCGCCTGATCCTTGTTCCAGGTGGACACCAAAGGAAGAGGGAGCAAAAGCCTGCGAGGCTGTGAGAACTGAAGTAGGATCCCCGCTTTCCATAGCGGGAGGGGTATGATTGGTATGATGTTCAAGTCCGTCCATTCTTGTGAAGTCATTGGGCATGAGACTTGCAGTGGATTCATGCGGCATGGATGGTCCGAAAGGTGACTGAGCGACAACAAAACGGAAGGACTTGAAACATCGATCAAAGGGAAGGCTGATATTGCATGGACATCAAATGTGTGTGTGTGTGTGTGTGCCGTGGCACTTATGATACGTATATAGATGCATTAGTATGATGCAATGCCATCGTGGTAAAGGTTAAACGAATCTGTATCCGAGTCAGCGTGAAGTTACCTACAGCTCATGATGTTCGTCCATCAAAAAGGCTGCGCAAACATATCCCAGAAAACCAAGAGCCCTATGGGGTAAAGGGCCGAATCCACAGCCATCACCCACATGCTCGAGTCCAGGACCTCTCAACCAAGAAACCATAGAAAACCCGTCTGCGCTTGATTCGAGCTAGCAATGGTGAAATCATCCACCCCATCAGAGACATCCCAAGTACCCCCTTCGTGGGCATCAAGTACCCCCTTCCACCCATCCTCGCACCGGCAACCCATACCCGCCCCTTGCCGGCGCACCGGACCACGACTTCTCACGGCCGTTGGGGAGGAATTCTAAACGCACTTCCTGAGTAGCAGGACGGTGGTGCGTACCCTACACCCTGTGGTCCTGAGGTTCTTCCCACCAAAAGGGTTTGTTTTGGGGGGTGCGGAACGGCTGTACGTGTTCCGGAAATAGCAGGACGGCGGAAGAGCGTTGGTGCAGTGACATCGACATCGATTGCTTTGGCAAGAATTTGTGTGGAGGCTCCGAAGTAGTGCAGATTCACATTCTAGTAGACTCGATAGATGCAGAAAGATGGAGGGTGTCCCATTGCAGTGGCCACAGAACTACGTATTTTCAAGGTCGGACTCAGTTCCAAATCGACTGATTCCGTCTGTAGCCACCCAAAAATAGATATGATCCAGTACTTTAATTTCCTGAGTGCCTCCCTTTTCTCCAAGAGCGGCTCATGTGCGTTTTGGGGCTGGGGGCGCTGGGCGTATTGCTGCCGAAGAAATGCAGAAGAACCAGGCATGCCTTTCGGCTCTTGTTGCGGTCGCGGGTGTCGGGTGTCGATTTGGATCCTTTGGATCTAGTCGGGTCCAGTCGTACCGAACCTGAGAAGGTACTTACCTCGATCCCTAGGGATGATGCAGGTGACTCAGGTGCCGGGATTTGGATCACGGCTGTGATTCGCTGGGTGCAGCCCAGCGAACCGCTGGATTGGCGAAGGGAGTTGTGCTGCAGATCAAACACCAACAACAGGTGCCCCTTGGCCTGTGAGGCGAGACCACTCGAAGATAGCTATATAATGGTCGCTTCGCTTCTTGTTACTAGTAGCGATGGCCTCCAACCTACTTGCAATGGCCTCCAACCTAAGAGCGATGGCCTATCAGGCGAGACCACTCGAAGATTTTGGCGGCTAACCTGCAAGTCACGCCCAATGCGCTTGTGAGCATTCATGGCCAGGTCAAATGCACTTGCCTCCAAACGCAACGCCTCATGCCCTGCCAAATCCCAGCATCTCAGCACAGCAAGACCAGTTGCAGAACGTGGTCTTTACCTAGTGGTGCAATATCACTAACGTAGCGACGACTGGCTCTATTGCATGAAAGAAGGACTTACTCCACGACTTCAGAGATGGAACATCGTCCGCTGGAGAACTGAACTTCACAGAAGCACTGCGCGACACCATCCTGCAGAGACCTACACGAAGAACATTCCCTCATCCAAACGGTGGAATGTTGTTTTTGCGAAAGTGAATCGCTTGCGGAAGATGGAGAAAATGCGGAAGAGTCAGATTCTTCCGCGTCCTGCGTCTTCCGCAAGCAACAGCTCTGCCACCACTTCTGAGAAACACTGTACGCTGCCATCCGGCAGAACCATTGTCAAAGACGCGAGAACAATTTGATCAGAGTTTGATAGAGTTTGCATCTTGATCCAAAGGCGGTTTTAAGTGTTTGTATTGAAATAGGGAGACACCCCAAGCAATGGGTTTTATACTAGTTTGCTCTTCTAGTTTTTTCTTGGGGGTCTCTCGATTCATGAGTCATATTATGTCGTTTGCTTGGTTGATGTCTTGGCTTCCAACGCTTAGCTCAGCCAATTGTTTGGTTCGTGTCTGATGCTCCCCCAAAAGCAGCTCAAAGCACTCTTTTGTGTCTGGTCAAAGCACTCTTCGGATCGACTGCTATGAAATCGCTGAGAAGTCGAAAAGAGGTCCCTGAAGTCTCCAAACAAAAACCATAAACGCTCTCACCAACGGTGACCCAGTCGTAGAGGTTCTTTTTCCAGGATCCTATCACACCCTGGGCGCCAGGGTAGCGACCCCAAAAACAACCCGACCGTCCACCCCCCCCCCCCCCCAAAAAAAGGTAAGTTCACCATCATCAACAGCAGCCCCTCACGTCGCTGAGAAGTCGCTTTTTCCACTCTCATTGAGTCTCCACGCACTGATCCCCGCCAGCTTGAAGCGGGGGGACCTGGGAGCCACGGGACGTGCAGCGAATGTGGAAGGACGCGAGCGAAAAAGAAGGGCTCAGATGAGCCACCTCTGAGTCAGTGATCAATCCAAATCGGCCTAAGATAAGGCAAGAATAAGCCTGATCTGTGGATGATCTAAGCCTAGTCTCCAGGGGGAGAGAACAAGTGTTTGCTCCCTTTTTCTTCACCCAGTCGGGAGAGTCGAAAAGAGTCGGACGAGTCCAACTCTTTCCGTCGCGGTTTGATCGATGTTTTGATGAAAAAACACAGCACGGGGTGTTCATGAGACTTTCATGAGGGCGAAGTGGAGGACGAAGACTTCAGAAACCACACTCGGCCCGTGGGGCCTGGCGAGTCCTCGGTCTTGGGACTTGCCGACATGCATGTCGGCCTTGAGTTGTATTTGTAAACGATGACTGGCAACCGGGTGGACTTCAAAGGTGCTCCATGTGAAGGGTTGAATCTCTCGTTTCACCCCATTTCGCCCCAAAGTCAAGCGCTGAGGATCTAAGACATGTGCCCTTTGAAAAAGCAGCAGAACTGTCTCAAAGTTGGAGCCGCAAGCATCTCATTCCTCTTTAAACAAGGACGCTACGAACGGGGCTCCTGGCCTTACTACGAACGGAGCGATCGGACGCTACGATCGGGGCTCCTGGCATCGCTACTAGGAGCGATCGGACGCTACTATAGGGATTCTAAAGACATCCCAGAAGGACACCCGAAACCCGCAGTGATCATGCCAAGAGACCACATCGGCGTGCCCTTGGGGCTCAGCTTCTCCTGCTTCTGGCTAAGCAGAAGTTGCAGTCACACCAACAAATGGATATTCTTTGCTGGCCCCACTGAATACCCCTTGAATACCCCTTCTGATTTGTAACGAGATGACCCTACCGATCATGGAGTGAAGCCTGGGTCAAAGCCTTCGGTGCGGGCTCAAAACGGATCCCGCGGGGGCGGGTCCGGAGGTGGCCGAAACCGAGAGGGGACGTAACAGGTGGTACAATCTGGACTCTATGAAACCTTCTGAAGCATCGTCATACGAGTCATACCTGGGATTTCCTTAAGGAACCCCGACATATGTTCTCCGGAAGGTGATTTACCCATAGGGAAAATACACATCATCAGCAAAATCAGGATATGCTTGCGCCGAACGTCCGCCTCTCATGCAGTAACAAGTGCCTTGCTAGTAGTAACAAGAAGCTATTAGTAACAAGTGCCTTACTATTGGGAGCAAGGACGCTACTAGGAACAAGTGCATCGCTGTTAGTAACAAGTGCCTTACTATTTCTGGATGACGCCCGGGGGGGGCCATGCTTTCCAGACACGTGGCGTCGACGTCGAAGGACTCCGGCGACTCCTCCGAGTCTAAGGATCCACTCTATGGCTCCGTAAGGGTCGCCCCACCGTCGCTTTTGGAAGATGCGTTTTCCACATCTTCTCACCTTGTTTTTTGTGCAATATGTCTTTTTTGGTTTTGGAATGATAGCCCTCCCACCCTTCGTCATCGGATATATCATGATATATCATGATATATGATTATATAAACAATATATATATATATATATGTTGATAAGTATGATGATAACTATCAAAAGACAACGCCGACCACACGACCCACCTCGCTCTTGAAGTTCTTGATGGTCCACCTCGGTGGACAAAAGAAGTCCATCGAAGAACTTCGACACCGAAAAAAAACGACGTGGTACGTCGTTGCCCAAGACACAAGGACCATGAAATGTGTGCAGATGCATCCAGGAGATGAAAACACGAGCATCACGAGAACCAACAACACATTGAAAAATAGTTAGATGAGATTTTTTTAAAGTCTATTGTGTCGCTTGTGTTTCTTTTTTCAACAAGAACCTCTCATCAGAACTCAAGACTGTACTCAAATGTTCATGAACATCTCATGAACATCGGCGGGTGATCAATTCAACTGCACTTGCACCAAGTACGTTATCAAGGTCATGAACCCCAAAAAATGCATTACAAACAATATCGTCTGGAGGGATAACAGAACTTTACCAACCTGACTGGGTTCCACACTTCTTATAGTCTCTCTACCCAGAAGCCTTTTGAACAATCGCCCCCCACTCGAAAGGTCTCGCCCGCTGCCGCGTTCGCATGCGCTGCTGGGCGTTTCGTCTCTAGGGCTCCTCGCTCCACCTTTCGAACGAAGGAATCCTCAGTTCCAACCAATACGAAACATGTTGTCACACGCGTGTGGTTTGCGCTTGTGGCTTGCGCATGCTTGTGGGCGTCGAGTCTTACGAGGTTCGGAGCAAGGCAGATCGGGGGATGAATCCCAGTGTCAAGAATAGAGGGCATGGCTTGGGGGTACGTATGTCTTGTATATTAGAGAGAGTTCAAGAATTCAAGTTAAAGATGATGGTAGGGTGACTGTTAAAACCTCTGCTTAGAGTAGATTGCACAGAATCTGAGAAGTGCTTTATCCCATCCGAAACTGGTCGCCGGTCTATATTAAGGTCTTTATGCCAGTTTGTGCCATCAAGGTACCATAGATCATGGGCCAGATTTCGTCAAATATTCTAGGTGTAGCTGAACAAAAATATAAACTAGATGAAAACAATGAGAGGGAAGTGGCTCCTTGTTACAACTGTGGTCTCTTCAACCAGCGCGGGGCTTCTCTTCAAATCATGTGGTGGTGGTGTTGGTGTTCAGCTCAAAACAAAAGATAACAGCTTCAAGGGGGGCTGATGTAAGAACTTTGGTAACACTGAGCACAAAGCATCCGTCTCAAAGGCGTCAATATTGTGGCACCCTATGTTTGTATATGTGTCTCCTTTCATGAAGAAGAATATCGTTGTTTCTGCCCAAAGGCGGACCCTCGTAGCTGGTTTGAGGGTCGCCTAAAACGGTGACGATGAAAGAACTGAAGTGCGAATCCAAACTGCTTCTCGCCAAACTCATCGGGTCGCATCGGGTTCACAGAGATCCGGGTTCACTCTCTTTGGGAGAGAACCTCCCGGGCGATCCGGTCGCATTCAACCCATCTCGGGCTGTTCTCGTTCCGACTCCGGCCGGAAGCACCCCGACCCCCCTGGCTCAATCCAAGCATCGGTGCTGTCGTTGAATCCAATACCTCAGCTCTGCCGGACCAGGATATTTCAAGGTGAACCTACCTGGACCATGGATTGACGATTTGGTTCCTAAGCTTCTAATTCCCACAGGGCCTCCTTGGAAACCAAAACCAGAAGTTAAAAACGGCCTTGGAGCTGAGCGAGGTGGAGGCTGTTGGTGCTTTCCCTTCGCCATTAAAAAGGAAAAACCCTACTGTACCGTAGACACCCGGTCGTCCCGCTTTCAGTAGACCCACGGTACGAAGTTCCAACCACTACGGTCCCATCCATGGATCTGGTGTCTTCCGAACCGGAGATCTGATGCCAGGAGTTGTGTGATGAACCGCAGAACTCCTGTACCCAACCTTCGGAGTGCCGTTTCGGAACACTTTTTAAGGAGGCATGGCAAGGCCCAAGGCTGTCCCAAAAAGAGGTCAGATCCAATCAACAATGACGTCCCGTACACCCCAGCCAGCCCCAAGAATATTCAAAAAAATGGAACATGATAGAACAAGTGGTTCCCATGTCCCCTTTGTTGAGTCAATTCAGGCAGTCTTGAATGAACTCTTGAACACCATGTCTTGAACTGGATTTGCCAAACTCTGGGAGGTTCACCACCGAAAAAGAAAAAAAACAAAAGGTTTCTCCTCCGATTCACCTGGGGAAAATCCCTTGGGTGGATCATGGTGGATCACTCTCTTCTCCCAATCCCTGTTCCTCGGAGCGATCGGGTGCTCCGCACACCGCGGCTCCGTCTCCTCCACCTCTCGCACACGCCTAGCGGCTAGGGCGGTTTTGGTGGAGATTGCAAAGGGGCACTCAAGGCTGTAGTAGAATTGATCTATCAATAGGGGTGAACAAGGGGGTGTAGTAGTTAAGAAAGTGTGGAAAAGACCCGAAGAGATCCTGCATCGTGCCGGGAATTGAAATCCATTTTCGGAATTTATCGGATATCTATGATTCTCTGCGCACAAATGTTCACACAATAATATGGAAAGTTCTGGCATCCAAAGTTATAAAAAAACAAAAAACTTGGATGGTTATATACCATACCTGATGTACCCAGCATGTTCCAAGTGCTGGTTCCCAGTCACTTTTGGCCTTATCACTGATGGCCAGACCAAGTGTATGGACCCTGCTGTTCTCTGCGGCCACTCCGACCTTGTGGCCACTCCGACGCAGCCAGTCGTGTCAGCCGGCCAATCGTCTGTTTCAATGTCTTTTGAATATTTGAAAATGTCACCAGCACAACGAAGAGAATGGATTGAGAAAACTAGAAAACTAAGGATAACAAAGGATAACAAAGGTAACGAAACATGCAGAGTCGAGTCGAAGCAGAACAAGTCGGGCGAGTGAGTCGAACCTTCGACCATCTGCGACCCACACGTCGATCCACACGTCGATCCATCGCCTGCGGAGCTCATCGATCTCATCTTGGATCCTGTGCGCAGAATCCACGCAGAACCTGTTCCCCCAAACCTGCTACCAGAATGAAGGTCCGTCAAATCTTAGTGGTACACAGCTTTCTTAAGGGGGGCAGTGGGGTTCAGCAGGGAAAAAGTGGCGAGCCACGTGGCCCATGTTCTTCAAGGAGGTTGGAAGTGTCTTCTACATTGGAGCCAGGACCAGACTGTTGGCAAGTCTTCCTGCAGTACGTAGAGACCACAAGATACCAGAGGCACGGTGCATGCAGCTAGGACAGGGTCGCTTCACGACCATACCCGTCTCTGTTGCGTTGGCATTACATACTCACAAGGTATACGCAACGCTTGGTAAAGTAGAATGAGTAGATGATCCATGATGAAGGGCACTTCAGTGAGGGATTTCCGAAAAGAATACGGGATGTTGTTGAACAACCTGGCTCTCGGGAAGGTCATGTTTACAGTAACTTATTCTGTATATTCATGGTTAACTTCACTTGCCAAGTGTGAGTCCCACACAGCTGTTTGTGCCAAAAACGATTGGCCGACTCCGCCGCCTCTTCACTTCGTTGGCATGTCTTTCTTCCTGGGCAGTGGCAGAAGAAGTGCCTGTTCAAGTTACAACCAACAGTTTTTCAGGGCTCTTGACGTTTCCACTGTAGGCTCGTTCGCCTGGCATAGATCGTTGAAGGTCTGGGGAGTCTGGAACATACCGATTGAACCCACCGTTGGATGACAACAGCAGGGAAAAGCTGCAAGAATCCGATACTGAACATCTATCAACTCACCTCGGAGTGACCAAATACGAAGAAAGGATTCGAAGAAATACATCCTTTCTGAACAGGCATCGGAAGCTACTGTAAATCGATCTATTTGATTGTTTGGTTGCCTTTCCCTAAAAATTCTACTCCTCCACAACTTGCCCGTTTTGCCCCCCACCCACACCTGCTGGGCCAACTCGGCTTTCAGGTCTTCAATCTTCTGCATGGAATGTGGCAGCAGAACATCCAAAATGGTTTTCTTCAGTGGGTGTTTCAGTGTCAACCTTCCCCACAACACATGGTGTGGTCTTCTAAAGATTTTACATTGAGGGAGAAATCCGAGAATATCTTCGTAGCAGGACGGAGGAGTTCTCATCATCGATTTCGCTGAACTGTTTCTTTGAGACAATCTTGGGACAAATGTGTTTCTTTCTAGCTGTCTGTCTTGCATGTTGACTGGATGTGGGGCAGTGCTTGCTTTGCATGTCTTGTGACTCTGGTGCTTGTGTCACCAATCGCTGTGTTACCCACTCCGTCTGATCTGGGCCAAAGAGCCGGATGAATTGGGGCCTCGTCCGTTTGGGTCCCTTTCTGAGACAACGACGTAAGGGGTATTGTCGGCCCCGAGGGAGGCCTCATCGGGGTGCCAAGGCATTGCTCAAGAGAGCAATGCCAAGAACACTTTTTTTGATATTGACTCAGGTCAAGGCGGTCAAGGGCTGCCCTGTTACACCGTTAGACCTGCAAGCATATATCATCTTCATGGCCGTGGCAATGTTGCCGCAACCAACAGCTGCTGTTCTGCATTGGGTATGAATTCTTTTCGGGAGACCCCCAACCAACATGTCGTTTGGTCTGTCCTTTGCAGGGGGTCGGAATGCCCAGGCGTCAGTCTTGCGGTGCCCCGCCCTCCAGTTCAGGCATCACTCCAGTGAGAGATCGTGAGTGATCTTCACATCGTTCGCGCCGCAATCAAGCAGCACACAGGGAGACGAAGTTGCCCAAACATCCGCTGTATGTTTCGACCACAGGCAGGGCGAAGCAATTGGCGAGTGAAGTAGGATGTCACTGATGATCACTGATGCCTCAAGAAATGCCATCATTATAGGAGCATGTAGGAGCAATCGGAGGAAACATCGTGTTGGAACAGGAATCACTTGGGAAACCTCAGTGCCAAACAGGAACCACGGAGTCCAAGGTACGACCTCTCGCACCCGCAGAGCGTGGGGTGTCATACTGACCGAGTACTCCCCTCTGTGTACCATCGAACCCTACCCACCACGCTTTTTGCGATGTTTCACTTCGAAAAGCTCTTCCTTTGGAAGGCTCCCGAACGTCGCCTCATGCAAACCCTCGGCCCACCCATCCACGCCCGTTGTCCAAGCGCCCGAAAGCGCGCGAAAGGCCGAGCCGGAGCTCAAGCGGCTCCGAGTCTTTGGGAGCCCGCGAGAAGTCGCTGAAATGGATCGACCTATCGGATCGACCTACAAGACCTGTATGTCTTTGAAGCTACGGACTAGGGGCTCCTAGCATCGCGACTCGAACGGAGCGATCCGACGCTACGAACGGGGCTCCTGGCCTTACTACGAACGGAGCAAGATAGCTACTAGTAACAAGAAGCTACTAGTATGTCTTTGAAGCTACTAATAACAAGGCGCATCGCTACGAACGGAGCAAGGACGCTACGAACGTAGCTCCTGTCATTACTACGCTATAGTTAACAATAGAACTAATTCAATTGAGCTGTGCTGACAACAACTGACCAAGCTGCTTCAGCGAGAGCTTGAAGGTGCGACTCTACTGGTGCCACGCTGCCATTGCTGCCATGGACCCCTGGTGTTTGGAGCTCTGGCATAAAACATGAGGGCGCCCGTGGTGATCACGTATGATAACCATTGTGACCCTTGACAGTGGGTCATGGCACCCGGGCACCCTGGGGATCTGGCCCCTCGGGTCATGTCAATCGAAACCATGCTTTGATGGGGTACTGCGCTTGAGTCACAGTCACATGGCTTGTGGATGGTTGTGGTCCATTTCTTTTGTACCCCCTGGCCCTTCTTGGTGAGACGTCACAGTGCACATCTCCGCACATCACTGAGAGAGTTCTACGCTCGAGGAATCGGCTTCGGGCTCCGAGGTTTCCATCTCACGTTACCCCCAGTTCAGTGGCGACCAAATCTGTGCAAAATATATGTATCTCATTGCAGTGAAGAGTGCTTCTATCCTTTTTTTGGGGGGTTATATATATATATATTTATAGAGAGAGAGAGAGATAGATAGATAGATCTGAATCTGATCTTGCCCACCTTTGACCCACGAACCCCTCGGCCTTCCTCCGCCCCCCTCGAGGCATTGCCCTTCACGTCAGCATCCGCGCCGTGCGGGGCGTCCGCCGCTCGGGCGAACGGTCTGAAGAGGTTCCTCGGGCGAACGGTCGTGGGCCGCGGTTGGGGCCGCGGTGCGGGCCCGGAGATCATCGGATGTCTTGGAGGATTTCTTGCATGTGTTTGCCCTAGACGTAGTATATAGAACAAGTGGTGAACACCAAGTTGAGGGATGATCACATGTGATGATGATCTGAACTGCAGCTATCACTGCAGTTTGTGCTTGGTTCAGCAATCATACACTGGTTGGTGTGTGGTTGGAATGGTCACTTCCCTGCTGAGTTGATCCTTGGCAGTCCAGCACGTCTACTGCAGACTGGGAGTACTCAAACACGGAAGCGAGTACACCGGAAACGAGGAATCGGACCATCTGTTGGACGCACGCGGAGAGACGGTCGACCACTTTGGGAACCGCTTCGACAGAGCTCTTAGTAAGGTGGTGTGTGTGTGTGTGTGTGTGTCAAGAGTCGCTGGGAGAGGAAGGAATAGGAAAAAGTAGCAACCTATGGTTTCTTGAAGGGGATAGATGAGCAATGGACAAAATCCATGGTTACATCATAGAAACGAATCTATGGGTGATGATCATTCGGCCCCCCCTTGCCCTTCTTCAGGCGATGTCGGAGCCAGGGGGCCGACCAAAAAGCACCATAGATGTTGTCAAATCCTCATATGAAACAGTGAGAACATCATGGTTGAGAATTGTGTTCATATGAGCTTTGTGAGCCACCAGAACATCAAATTCAAGAGCTTTGTGGAGCTTGAGAATTTTTTGCACCCACCATGCACCATGCACCAATGCCAGCACACAATCAAGAGCTTTGGGGAGCCACAGAGGGGCATGACCAATCGCGAAACCGGTGATCTGATGGAAAAGGTGCAGGCCAAAAGACTCAAGAATGTTCGGGGCAAGGCATAAATTTGAACCAAGCCAACTTAACCAAACATATAATAAAATATCCAACAGTTCAGCAAACATCGCACCCAACATCCTCGTGTGTCTGAACCAACATCCTCCACACGGATTCCACCGGATGGAGCGGGGCCCCCGGCGGAGCGACGCCAGGGCTCGCTTGGCCTGAGGCACAGGCCGAACGCGTGCGGAAAGGGAGGCGACGGATGGCGATCCCAACAGTTTTAGCTGAACCTTGACCGGTTCACCCTTCTGACTATGACACTTTTCTGACTGATTCGGACTCTAAGACAAGAAGAAAAGCCCCTCGATTTTAGAAATCAATGGAAAGAAAACGTGTCCGATACGATGTTTGCAATGCCGGCATCAAGTTCCATTGGAACTACAGTAGACGGACCAAATCTTCAAACCCCTCAGTTGATGACTGTCACCAACCCCCGACCCCCAAGGGTCCATGTTGAACACGACTTCATTGAATTTGTGTTGCCAGGGTTTGGTTTGTTTCGTCCATTCGCCGAAGCACTCTGGCAGGCTCACTAACTTTGAGTTTTGGGGTAGAAGGGCTCCAAGCGCTTTGAAGGGTTTGAAGGATTTGAATATTTTGTCCATCTACGGTACTGGGTGTGGACGGCGACTACTGTTCTGTTACGTTGACATGTACTTTCCCAATGCCTTTTCCAGTGCCTATTCGAAGTTTGCGTGCGCCTGCCAGTAATTTTGCGATGTGACTCACTTTTTTATCCACAAAAGAGAAACCGTATCTTTCTTGTTCAACGACACTTACCGAACATTGATTTTTGCTGGCAGGGCCATGCGAAAGTGAAAAAGGCACTGGAAGAAAAGGGGAAAACACATGGAAAGAGCGTGGTGAAACTAAAATGATGGTTGCGTGTGAGACTTCTTCCATAAGTGATGAAAGTTTTCATTTTCCACATTCAACTTACAGTCTTCAGTATCGCTTTTGTACCACAGAAGATGATAACAAAGAGTACTACGGATGAAGAGACTTGAACACCAAAAATATGCACACGTCACCTTCGTGAGACGGTAGAACTTGTGCAACATACTCAGTGGTTGTAGGGGCCTCTCTCACATTTCGTCCACTCTCCGGTGTTACGTCGAAACCAGTCGTGGACGACCTGATGCCTGCGACTCTGCAGCCATAAACTCGCGTCACCGTTCGGATGTCGGTGGCTGTTCGTTCCAAGGGCCTCTGGAGGAGCCACGAGCTCCGCATCTAAGAGTACCTGTTCAGGGCGTGGTCCGATGGCTTAGAGTTCTGAGTCTGATACTGAGTTTACTGGAAAAGTGCGGCTTTGGGCACAGAATCCGGTATGTCTAAATCCCCGGAAATGGGAATTGCCCAAAGCGAAATTCAAACAACCTGAGCAAAACGGAAATGGTGGTTTTCGTGGAGAACGGGTTGTGTACTGGACATTGCTGGACATCCTGAAAGAAAGGGCGACGAGGATCAGCTGCTCTTGGGGGACAAAGTCGCATGTCGATGCACTAGGTATTTTGGTGGTTAAACATGTTTAAAGCGGATCTTTTTCATGAACATGGGTTGTTGATGCGCTTGCTTTCACAAAAAGCACCGCTTTCCAACACCATGCAGGCAGCCCACAGGCCTTCCGCTTCAGTTCCGCATCCAAAAGCCCGGAGATCTTCTCCTGAACTTCGACACGGGTATTGCTTACTCGGACGGCCAGGAGTTCTGTGAACCGGATAGATCCAACGATGGACCCCTGGTGGACATCGTTTGGGTACCATGTTTGGCTTTGGATCCATCGTTTGGCCTGGGCATTCTGCGGATGGCCGATTCCAAGGACATTCAATCCCATCCTTCTGTTGGCTAATAGGACATTGAGACATTGTTATAATAGATGCAGACAGATGTCAGCAAAGTTCCAAGGTCTTCCACTTCCTACTTTTCATTGCATGGAAAACCTCCCAAACCCCAGGCCTGGGTTCAACCAAGCTCAAGTAAG